GCCCATGCAGTAGAGACTTCCTAAAGCCATCTAGAGGGTGTTTTAAAAGCAAACATTGCAAGGCATTGCCTGGCCTTCCTCTAGCTAGCAGGGGGAAAAAAATAATACCCTGGAAAGCTATTCTGGTCTCGCATGATTCTCAAGTGGAAAATTTCATCTGAACTGATTTCGTCTGGCGGGGTTAAGGGAGGTGAGGCCCAGCTGCCGTTGGCTCTGCAGCACGGACGGACGGACGGACTGACGGACGGCTCCACTGGAGCCCGTGCCTGCCACGCGGACAGGGCTGGGTCTGGCAGCGGCTCCGGCGGGGAGAAAGGAAACCTGAGCCCAGGGGAGCGCAGGGCTGGGATGCAGCCTTCAAGCGGCGTGGCCGCTGCCGCCGCTGTTACCCGTGCCCGCCTGGGAATACACCGTGCCTCTCTCGGGTGCGAGGCTCCCTTGCCTCCTTGTCCCCGTCTCCCAGCCGCAGTCGCTCCCCTCGGTGCAGCCCATGGAGCGGCGGGGACGCTGGGTGCGGTGGCTGGCGGGGCTAATCCCTGTCCTGCGGGAATAACTTGGGCCATGTCGCCGGCCCTGCTGACGGCACAGCCCTTGAGCACCGGCCTTGAAACCGAGCCAGGGGAGCTCGCCTCGGGCCAGGGACCGCGGCGTGGAGCCGGCGGGGGCGAGCGCCTCGCGGTCAAGCCCAGCTGGAGAAGGGAGTGTCCGCTCCTCATCCTTCCCCTCAGGGCTGATAGCCCGGACCACGCACTTTAAAACCTAGGGCAGGCTGGGAACTTGCTGTTCAGGTGTTCGTTGTTGGAAAGCAGTAGCAATTTGTCGAAATTGCAACTTTTAATGGGAATGTTCGTATGTGTATGAGAGACCGAGTCCCCTGGTCCTGTGTCCTGGAGTGTCTCCCACCCTTCCCCTCTATCTGGTACTGGTGTGGGTAGGTCAGTCCCCATCTCACATGAAACAGAAAGGCTTTGGATCCTTATAATGGGTTTTCCAGCCAGCCCTACCCACAGCACCTGCCAGCACGGCTCCAGCCGTGTGGGCCAGCAGCTCTCACGGGGCGGTGGTGCAGCACAAACTGCAAAGGGGGTTTGTGCTGCGGTGTCAGACTCACCGGGAAATTCTGTGGGGAAGAGGGCCCGGGAGGTCTTAGGTTCAGCTGCTGGCTCTGGGCGGGTTCAGCCACTGGGTCGGACCAGGCCGCTCAGGGTTGTGTCCCGTCGGGGCTGGGAAAGCCTGCGGGACAGGATCCCGACAGCCTGTCTGGGCAGCCCTTGGCACTGCCTCACGCATCCAGACGGCTTTCCCCGTTCGCAGTTCCAGGGGCATTTCAGGAGCGCGCTGGAGCGTGACGTGGCGGCTCGGAGCGTGCGGCGGGCGGCCGTGCCTGCCCGGCGCCGCCGGGACGCGGGAGCGGCCGGGCACGGCCCGGGCTGCAGCGGGCTGGGCTCTCCCTCCGCCCGGGCGCTGGAGCTCCCTGCTGGCCGCAGCTCCCGGCCGCCTGAGGAAGGAGAGGGGCTGGGGCGGCTAGCAGTGCCCCAAGGCCGCTCCGAACGGCAGTACTCGCACTGGGGCTCGCTGGGTATTGCTCCAAAAGGGAGTTACCGGAGGAGGGTGTCCACCGTGGAGCCCATCACTGCTGCCCAGGACAGCCCCCGGCCATCCCTGGCGGCAGCAAGCAACTGACCTGTGGTGCACAGCTCCTCTCTGCTTCATCACCTTCACCCCGGGGATTTCCATTGGAAAGGTGTAATAAGCTGCTGACACACATAGCTAAGTGCTTAAGGGAATTGAAGAAGGGAATTCAGAGAGAGGGTAGTTGAGCAAAATATACAGTCAGGATCTAAATGCAAATTCTTGGGTCTGCATTCTCCCCTCTATTTGACTGATACGAAGGAGCTGCCCTATACTGACATGGCACAATAGGATGAACATGTGACAGATTGGGCTCTGCACTACTGCCCACAGCAGCATTCAAGCATTTCAAGAGAACATTAAAATAAAAGGTGGTATTTAACAGAACTTATGGGAAGCAGCCGGTTGAAGATGGGCGGATCAGCAGAGAGTCCCTGCTGCCACACCCGAACTCTGGCTGACAAACACAATTAGCTTTGTCCTGTGAGCCCAGAGAATAATCCCGTTAAATGCCCCTAATTCAGCTCCGAGACTGTGCATCTAGAGGGGAAAAAAGCTCGCCAATGAAGTGCATATGTGTGTTACTCCAAGTATAAGGACTGCAATAGGAAGGGTCCCCACGCTTCCCAGGTCTGTAACAGGACCAGCTCTTAGGGAATAGCCCTGGAGTCCTGGGTTAAACAGACCTTCACCTGCCTTCTCTTGGCGGCCCCTCTGCCAGTGCCGCAGACACCCCCACTCCCCTCAGCAATGGGTCCAACAGATCATGCTTTTCCCTAAAACTCAGGGCAAGTACTTATGCACAAGTACTGACTCTCACACAGTAAAGCAATAACTAACAATAAATTGGTGTAGTGAATTACATGCTACTACTTACTTCAAATTTTAATAAAGGAATGAAATAAGAGCTCAGAGAAGAAGCAAGTCCGCAGTCAGTGCAATACTTCCAGCAAAAGGAAATGTTTGGTGTGTAACATCTGACACCCTCCTGCAGTACATGTGGCAGTCACAGATATTTTCTCCTTCAATTATGATCAGGCCAGTTAAGCCATCTTTGGTACATACCCTATCCTGGCTCCTTGCAGCAGTCAGCTGCTACTGCCAGCACCCACTGAGCCCCTCCTACGGGCAGCCACTGCCACCCTTGCTGGCATCCAGGCTGTTTCCTAGGGCTGCATTTGCTTTCCAGCTGTTGCCCAAGGCCTTAGGAGTTCTCTCCTCACAGAAAAGGAGACTAACAAGGTATAGTCCTGGTTCAGCAAGATCAGCCTGGACCAGAACAAGGGCAGTTGCTTAGCTATCAAGGATTACAAGCTGTTTTCTAGCCCAAGGTTTTTTTGGGGGGTGTTTTTTTTCGTTGGGTGGCAGCTCTTGGTTTTTTTTTTTTTTTTGTTTATTTTTTTTTTTGTGTTTTAGGGTTTTTTTAAATTTTAAAAACCCCAAGGGTTCAAACCTGAGATACAGACAACTCCACACACCCCTCCCCACCTCCACTCTCCCTCCACAAAAAAAACCAAAACAAGAGCACATAGGAAGCAGCAAAATATCCAGTGGTGGATCCAGGGCACCCACTTTTATTCTGATCCAATGTAAGCCAGTTGTGCAGCTCCTTGGGCACACAATGAAAAGTTGGAACCATTTTCTCCTGTTCCTAAGAAGTAAGTGGCAATACCAGTACCACAGCCTTGTCTGGGCCCACAGCCCTGGATCTTCCTTAGGAAATGGAAGGCAGGCTGCAGGGCTGGGCCAGGGAAGCGTTCAGGCCAAAGCAGGCAGGGCTGTTTGCCATGCACGACCATCACAGCACACAGGGCAGCAGCGTCTGCAGGCCTGGGTCAGACACCCGTGCTCCTGCCACAGCCTCGGCAAGCCAGAGGGGCTGCAGCTGTCTAGCAAGCACAACAGGGCTACATAATTTCCAAGTAATCTGAAGAAATCATCCAGCTTTCATATTTTGTAAAAATTCTGAACTGCAATTACAACATAAACAGGAGCACGCAGCAAATCAAACTGAAATACATACTGTGTTCAGACTCCAGGTTGGCTTTAATGGCAGACCGTCTTCAAGTACAGCAAGTATTTCTGCTCTGACCACTGCTGCATTTATAGAGAAATCCTTTTCTACTAATCTGTAAGTTAACATAAAACAACTTTTAAAGACCGTATGACAGAATCCTGTTGGGTTATCTAACCTTAGGCAACTGAAGTTGCATTTAGTCAAAAACCACACAGCAGTCTGTCTTGTCTAGAAAGACCTCAACAGGTAAACTGAAGAGCTTATCACTGCTTGACATGGGCCAGCTAGTAACTTCAGGTAAAAAAAACCAAACAAACAGGAAACCAAATCCAAACCACAAACCCCTTTAATTTACTCCCTTTCCACTTCTACATTTAATTACAGTAATAAGCATTTCTTAGACTACATCCCCAAAGCATAAGCCATTTTGTATCTCTTAATTGGCCTGTAAAACTGTTCTGACAAATCCAAACTGAGAATTTACTGTCAAAGTCCATGAAGTTTCACAAAATCTTTGCTTTACAGAGTCAGAAAATAAAATTTCCTACTAGCTGGCACTCATGTGAAGTACACTTGCAGCCAAAGGGTATAAATGTTACCTCCAACTAAAGGGTTTTAAAAGTCCCTTTTATCTGTAGGATCCAGACCTCAGTGCATCATTTTAAAACCCTAAAACTCCCTTCTCCTCCTTCCCCCAGTTTTCAAGGGAAAGTCAAAGTGAGAAAGTAAGCAAATGACCTTGAAGAAATCAAGAGGCTGCAGTAACACAATAAAGAAATTCTCTGACCAGTTCAGGCAGTTCATTACTCAATGTACATATATTTGCAGCAATCTGATTTACCTTTACATTATGGATACAGCTAAATGAAGTCCAGTGCAAGAGAGCATTTGAGGTTTCTGTAGTCTTGTACAGCCCTACCCTAGAGTCAGCACTATACAGAACTAGCTAAAGTTGAAAGTTAAGACTTTTCAAATAAACACTATTAAAAAAGGAGCCAAAGGTTCTGTGACAACATGCAGAATTGGACTAACCCATGCTGCCTCAGGGCACTGCATGCACACGAGCTGGGACAATCTCTCCGTGCACACCCATGCCTAGTGCAGGTTAGCTGGTTGGTGTGAAGAACTGAATCTAAGGTCATGCTCTAAAAACACACCACAAATTGCCTTTTAGCCTTCCAGGAACTTACATGACTTTCACTTCATACAGATTGATCAATCTTAACATTTTTACTGTGTAACACAAAGCTGAACCAATGGGCTTGAGAAAAGAAAGCTTCTCAAATCAATCACATATACATCTACTTTATCTGCCTAGCTCCTCCCAAAGTTAGCCTGAAAAACAGTAAAATCTACACAAAGTTTTATTGCAATCATACAAGGGATACATCACGGGTCAAATACAACAAATACTATGATGCAATTTTACATTTATTAAACTACAGTTCAAAGCACAAATTTACACATTCTAAATACACTAAAACATCTAATGAAGTCACACTGGTCTCCCACTGACATTTGATATATCTGGGCGAAAGACAATAACTTTACAAGACTTTTCTAACAGGAATCCTTAGTATAAAAACTGTGTACTTGTATGTAAACTGTTGAAGAACCCAAGTGATGGGTTTCCATCTCCACTAAGTCATCCATTTTGTTGCATATTTAACGCTCAGGGGTTGAATGAACTTGATTTTGAATTTGGACACCGTTATCTAACCCTCCCACCCCCCACTGAATTGTAGCTGTAGCTTGTTTTGCCTGGTCCCCATTGCTATTTTTTCAAGTTTTGAAGAGAATGAATTGAATTCAAGATTGTTCCATTTCTTCCACATTGGAATGTTGACCAGACAAACTACAGACTTGCAACTGCAGGTCTAAATGAAGCGTTAATGCCTGTTTAAGCTGCAGTGGAAAAGCGTTCTTCCGGGCTCAGCTGAATGCACGAAGGCACAAAGAAGAAGTTCTTCATCAATGTGTCTGAAGCAATTCCAGCATCTTGCATCTCATCCCTGCAGCAGAAAAGGTCAAGAGATGTAATAGCATGTTTTCAGGTTCAATTTCCCTTCAGAAACCAGCCTCCATGCAGCATTTGAAGCCAATTGCCCTGCGTGGCTTGGCCCTGGCTCAGCAGAAGGGAGCCCAGCTGTGCCAGTGCCTGGCACACAGAAATGCTGCCACTCAGCAGGGTGGGAGTGCAAGGCCCTGCCTGGGTGCAGGAATGGGTTACCACACGCTCCATCACCACAAGAGCGTCACTGCCCTTCCTGCCCACGATGGTGCCAACACTGCACACAAGCTGTGGTTACGTGTATCAGGAAAGCTCAAAGGCTGAAATTAAACAGCTTTTGTTAAGCCAGCAGAAGACTTTACAACTGCCACTGAACTCACAGGTGAGATCAGTCAGGTATTCTGCTTTCCTCTGTCAGCCTTAAAGCAAAGTAGGCATTTTATCACAGATCTCAGCTTAGTCTCAGCAATCAGACAGAGACAAAAAAAACCCCCACAAACTAAAAAGGCATGTTCTTGCACTCAGCATTTTCCTATATTTGCCACTGAATGTCATTTGTAAGTGTACACTCCTGAAGGAAGCAAAAGCAACCTTGCCAGTACCAAGACAGTTTTCTTACCAGTCACTGAAAGACATCATGTAGTAAATCAGTGGCCTCTGGTAGTCGTTAAAGGCAGACTGTTCACCCAAGGTACCAGAGCCCATATTGTCAAAGATCAGCCAATCTCCAACGCTCAGCTCGGGAAGAAGACAGTTTTCCACAATTTGATCAAGCTCGTCACAGGATGGACCCCAAAGGCTGCTTGCAAACAGAGGCTCATCTTCCTTGTATTTCTATATGGAAATGATTGAGGCAAGTCAGGGTTCAGTTTACTGAATAAGAATTTTCAAATATACAGAAGGTGAATTTAATAAATAATATGCATTATATATGTATGAAATGATAAATATATATTCAATAGACAAGGATAGAAAGGACTACCTCTGAAGAACACAGAAGGACTCACCTTGTGAACCTCTGGGATAGTATTCAGTTTCTCAGACAATTTACTTGCAAAAGAACCATAAACACCATCATTTATGTAATATGTAAATACCGGTTCATCATCATTCCTGGTTTGCTCCACTGGAAGTAAAAAAAGAAGTTGTCTTGCATGCATGTTTTGTCATAAGTAGTCCTTTTGCAATCTAACTTAAGTCAGCTGCTTTCTCCTGACAAGGGGTTCCATATATACTGGAATAGGAGAATTACAAGCAGAGTAATCTGTATGAGACCAGATTATAAATTCAGTTATAACTTTACAGTTACAGTGAGAGGCTTAAGAAAATTAATACTTTCAGTAGTAACCACTGACAAGAACATAAATCCAGAGAAGCACAGAAGTAGCTTGCTTGCTCTGGGACATGATTTTTTGTGTTCTAATACAGAACCTTCTAACACACCACCTGTGATGCACCCAATATAGGTTTATCCTAGTAAGGATACAAGAAGTGCCACATAAAAGTGAGACATACAGGTAACATATGGTCAGAATCCAGAAGGCATATTACAGTGCAAGAACTAGGGGATGCACTAAATAGACAAACTAGTCAATCCCAGCTAATAGTGGGCAGTCACCTGTACTGAGTCATAACACAGAAAACAAATCCAACCCTTACCTCCAGAAGGAAGAAGTTTATCATACTCAACAGTCTTCTTTGCAATGACATTCACTGCCAGTGTAAATGCAGATGAAACATAGTAACATCCAGGCTCTGCAATCACATTAACACCAGATTCCTTAGGAAAGTAGACATCCAGCAATGGCCTGATGACGTGATTAACCTAGGAAATTGAAGTCAGAGGTAAGGCCAATGAACTCAGCTTACAGATGGATCACACACACTTCCAGTCAGCAGCAAGTCTAGTCAGCACACCAAATGCTTTCTCTGCTCCTCCAGTCTCTGAGAAATGCCTTTACTGGAGGTCCACAATTTATAAAAAAAAAGTAAGAAAACTGGTCATTCTGCTAAACACTGAAGATTGAGAACCATGAGTCTGAGTACCACACAGTCTCTTTTCACAACCAAAGTTCAAGCTGTGGTACACTCATAACTGCACCAGCAACTTCAGTGCCCATCAAGCACAACAGGCAATGTAAAATTGCATATGAACCCACAAGAATGAGCAAAGGGCCTTTTCATGATCCGTTCTGAATAGTATCATATTAGAAACAGAATTATTTAATACTAATGTTCATATCTTAGGACAGATATTTGAAGATTTACAGATATTTTGACAAGTAACAGAACCATTAGAACTGAGAGAAAAGCCCTGACTGCAGTTACTAACTCCTCACTACATCACTTTCACTGTGCTGAATTCATGGAGCCTGTGTTTAAGACAACATAACATTCTAAACTGGGTACCCTGTTTTACGTGCCACTTCATACTAAAGATGGCGTTTAGGCCAAATCAGAGGCCAGTAAAATCAATACCTTTAGCTTTCAGTTCCAGAGCAAAATACTGGATATTTTCATCCAGTAGCAACAGGGTTTATGATCCAAAGCATGCTAAGGCACCCTTGACCCAAACCATGCAAGAGTCACCAGCTGGACAACAGTCAAGAAAAACCTTGAATTATTACTGCTAGGGCTGCTTCAGATAGTAATTTAATCTCTAGCACACTTAAATGAGCATTCACCCAGGATGAACGGGATCAAAAAGAAGTCATGATCACCTCCAAGAACAGATTACACTATCCATGATCAAGAATACAAGCCCAACTAGTGGGATCCCGAGTTACAGTCTAACATGGAACTTAGTTAAGTTTCAGCTATCAATTCAAGCTGCAGTTCGAAGGCTGAACACTTCAACATCTTCAAAAGTCAGAGTTTCAACTTCCAACACATTGCATACCTCCTCCAGCTGAAGTTCTGAACCTGTGAAGCCCCCACCAATATCCAACATGTTCATCTTGAAGCCAAATTCTTCCTAAAATGCATAGGCAGAATGTAAGTACATGAACAACAGTAAATGCAAAATTATTTTGTTGCTGCTTACTGTGGTTGTTTTCTGGGTATTTAAGCTTTTGAAACTATTTAGCTGAGCACATCTAATGAGGGAGTAAGGGCATAGTACAGCTCCATTGAATCTAGAAGCAAAGCAGTGGGACGTCAATAGAGGCTGGTTACACAATTCTCTGCAAGCCCCACAGCAATACCAACTCCCATCTTGGGGCTTTTGCTATATTCACACAGTATTTGCTGAACAGGTGGTGTATTGACAAAAGACAGTTTTAGGATTTCACAAATTTTGTGGCAAGACCACTGCAACAAATTTGCACTAAGATCAGCAAGATCCTCAATTTTACTGCCCCCATATGCTACCAGCTACAGCTAAGGCACTGCAGTAATAAAAGTAAACAGACTTGGAGTCTTCTCTGTTTAGTTTACAAACTCCTCATACCACAATAGATGCCAGCATACAGTTGTTCAATTTCAATGTAACCTAAAAGCATCAGTTGTGTATTACAGGACTGAGATTTGAGTATCAAAAAAGCCTTGACCCAAAGTGGGAAACTAATTTAAATAGCATGTAAGGCTACTGCCTGTCAGTGGGACAGTATTCATTACCATAATTAGGACAAAGTTGGTTTTACCTTTACCACACATCACAAAGGAGTATTTAGTCCCTTACTAAAAGTTCAATTTCCAATGATTTATTCTGGAAAGAACATAGTTGGTTTGTTAATATGATTGGAATAGAATGGATCCTCTACTGTAGCAATTGTGTATAGATGTACTTACAGCCATGTCAAACACACACCGAGCATCAGACAGAGCATGAATGTATGTTTGCAGATCCTTGCAAGAGCCTGAAACATGAAATCTGAAAGAAATAAAAACACAGTAAATGCACTGAACCATGCAGCTTTCAGACCAAGCAAATTGTTTCACCATATAAAACAGCAACAGAAGCAATTCATTCCCAAGTGTCTCAAAACAAACTTAAATGATAATATACAGCAGCTGTGCAAAGCTCAGACCACTACTGCCTTCTATTTCACTGAATTTATACTTGAGAATTGTCTTCCTCTTAATCCTAAAAATGTCCCACAATATTCTCATCTTTGAGAAACAACAGATTTACTGGCTTTTTCAGTCTTCACTATCAAAGTGGCTGAAAGCTGTTTTTCAGTAGCAGAAGAAAAAGCTGCAGAGAAGTACCGATGCCTACCACAAGCTCCTGAATCCCCTCTTGTTCCATGTCCAAAAGATTCAAGTACTGCCACATGCCCTTAGTCACTGAGGTGCTAAAACAAGTGCCAGCATTCCCACAGGCTTCCTCAAAAGGAGTGTGGTCTATTGGTTCTAGACAGACCAAACACACACCCAAGCCACAGTGTTCTTTACTCCAAGTCTACTCATTTAAGGAATGCCATTCTGAGGCAAAGGTCACTTTTCAAAGTTACCTGCATGAATCCATGTGTGAATTTAAAAATTATTTAAATTTAAAGAAATGCACAACAGCCACATGGTTTTTATAAAAGTTGGTTAAGACATTATACGAAGAGGAACATTTTTCAGCAGTATGTATATTTTTGAAGATATTTGTAGCTTATGCTTTAACATTCCTTTCAAACAGATTCAAAACATTTGTGGTTTAAATCATCAAAATCTGGGTTAACATTTTTTTATTGTCTCGATGACCCATTTATTTGTTTGGTTGCTTTTCCTAAAACAGTCATGAGAATATGAGAGATTTGTAGCTGAAGGTAGACAGAGCAGACTTGTGCATGCATTTTTCTCAGATACAGTAAAACATCCATCAAGCTTCCAATTAAAATACCACGGATCATCTGTACAAACTTGGAACTCTGGGATTCATTCCTGCCACCTACAAGTCAAAAACTTATTTTGTCTCGAAATGATCAAAGAGTGACATAGAACCTTAACTCTTACACAACCTGACCCCATGTTCATCTTGTTCTAACTAGCCAACCTATTCCATGCTGTACTAGCACTTCTGTTATGATGTTTATTGTTGGAAAAATACAAATTGAGTTACCACAGAAGTTCCAGAGTACCGTTACAGAATAGGAGAGGCTTCTAAACCTACTTTTCATGCTGACAGAAGGAATTTATGATACTTCACTTCACCTTGTTTTGATGTCCATAATAGTTACTTTGTTTCATACTAGTTTGTGCTTGCAAGCAAAAGCTCATGATTCTAAATGGATGTGATATTGTTTGTCTGGGGTTTTTGTTGATTTTTTTTTAACCTTGTAAAATAGTGTCACCAGGGAAAAATTCTATTTTCCACCTTAAATACATCAGCCAGCAGAGGACAATGAAGTTACTCACTTGACACCAACTATTTGGACTCCCAGCTCCTTAGCACATTCCATAAGGTGCCTACAGTTCTTCAGAGTGGTGCCAAACTTCATATTCATCTCCTCACCAGCAGTAATGTCTTCTGTGGCAATGTGCAGTAAGAGCCTAAGAGAAGGGGAAGATGATTGGGGCAGTTGGTTTACATCATCAGCACATGTGAAGCCTGAAGATTGTCAGAAGTGTGTTGATTATGTTGTCAGTACTCCAGCTCCATCGATGGATGAATCAAGGCAACCTAATAATAACAATCCTGTACGGAGAAAAAACTAGCAATTAGGGGCTAAAACATGGAGCCAACAAGGACAAGGGATTTCGAAATGCAGCAACTAAGACTCTTGCAGCAGCAAGAGTCTGTTGAGTGCTGTAATAAAAAATAATGTTACCTTCTAATAAAGCATAGTTCCTCATAAAATCAGTAAGACTAATATGATTTTTCCCATCTCTGTACTCCTCCCCAGCCTAGAGGTTCCCCTTCAGTCAGACATGCATCAGATTTAGTTAAACTCAGCATCCAGGCTGAAAGCACATCTTGGCCATATCACATAACCTCCTCTTCTGGCTGAGCACATGGACTCAGGATGAGGGGGTATGGAGGTCAGTCCATTCCCTGCACCTTTTTCCAGGACACTGTAGAGCACAGAGGCAGCAAGTACCATTTCTTACATTCTTATGCAGTGGGACATCTTCCTCTGTCTGGTCAAAGCCTGATTTTGGGTAGGTTTAGCAAACTGCCGTGCCAATGCTGACCTTTCTCTATGTTAAAGCAACACTTGAGGGGCAAAGGCACAGTCACATCCAAACCTCTAGTGACATACCCCCAAACCTCCCAAACTCAAACTGGTGTCCACTGAGAAAGTCACACCACCACAAGATCACGTAATTAGTCACCCAGTAAACTAAACAGAGGTGGTGTCATGACATACATGCAGACTGGCAGAGCACATTGCAGTTAACCAGGATGGGGAGTGTAAATGAGTGGAAGAAACTCAGAGTGAAACAGCTCGTTACAAGACAGGCAACAAACAGAACTCAGCCTGGCCTAACATCTAGCATGACTTCTACAAGTACTTTCCAAATGTTTCATGGTGTGTTTAACATGCATTTTGTAAAGAGCAAAAAGTCCCAAGTTCTCAAACAGGTTGCCCTGCAATCCTTGTTAATTTATACAATTTTGTCTTGAAAAACTGACGAGCATTTAATTTCCTGCTTCTCACTAGCAGAGAAAGTTCTGTTAAAAAAATCTGTAGTCAGACAACATTTTGTGAAGCATTTGGAAAAACATGCTAACTGTAGCAAAAAATTGCTACAAATCAAACTCTTTAAAATGTAATAGAAAAATTCAACTCCATATTATGATTTGTAACCTCATATTAAGATTAGTCAAAACCCCTCCTTAAAGACATCCAATGTTAAACCAACAAATTGTTATAGCAGCATTTATAAGGAATCAAGATATTTTTCAAGCAAAAGCCACAGAAATTTTTACAGAAATTTCTCTCCAGTATGCACAACACAGACAGACTTCCAGGAGGATGAAGTGTAATCACCAGCAACGACATTAAATCTTGTAGTCTTGAACAAACAAAAAAGCTCTCTCAAACACCACCATGCCCCCCAAAAAAACACCAAAACAAGTCACAGTTTTGGGAGAAGACACAATACTTTAATAATGACTTCAGAACCAAGGAATTTGTCAGGCATATCAGGAATTCAGTTTCTCCAATGACATTTATGGAAAGCTGTATCTTTAATCACTGCAAAGCACTGTAAGAGTCACTAAGGCTCTGGCTCCACATTTCTTAAAGGCATGGCCCAAAACTAAAGCATTCATATGTGAGGGATGTGATATTAAATGAAAGGAGTGCCTATCAGTCCAAGAGACCATTATACATTGCCAGCAATAAAGTTGCCATATTTAACAGCCAGATTTGACCACTTTTCTACAGAGAGCAGCTGAGCTAATACCAAAGTGACTGAAAATATTTCTCACTGTTTTGTGTGGAAATACTGTAGGTGTATTTAATAGACCTGCAGAGTGTGCCCAAACCCCAGGTGGGATCCAATGCACACGGTCATTTGCTGGTAGCTCAGCCCTGACTTCAGCCAGAGCCACTAATATCCAAATACAACTGCCTGGAAGATAACACTGAAGCCAAAACAGAGCAGGAGGAAGATGTTATTTGCAGATGATGAAATACTAGACTTCTGAACTTTAAGCACTGAAACCTTTCCATGAAGATTGCCCTAAAAAAATAACTTTCTCCCAAGATTTTTCCCAAACCAAGGGCCATTGTATTAGGAAGCCAAGACTCAGTAGGAAAAGATGCAAAAAGCTACTTACAAAGGAGACAGAAGAAGAACAGATACAAGTGATTTGTACTAAAGAAGCCATGTACTTTGCTTGCAACTCAAACCACCCAGAAGACAGGCAAAAAGTTTTCCCCATATTAAAAGCAAAACCAGGATTTTGACACTTACTTGGCATTTGGATGGTTACGTGAAATTTTCTTCAGCTCAATATCACTGTCACAAGTCATGATGTTTATCCCTGCTTTCGCTGCATACTTGATCTGAGAGGCTTGCTTGCAAGGGTTTGTGTATATGATGTTTTCAGGAGAAATGCCCAGGTCTTGTACCAACGCCATTTCAGACTGAAAAACAGGCGCATACCAGAGTTTGACAAAGTGCACAGCACCATCTTTCCTGAATTATTATTAGATGTGCTCTACCACCACAGTAAAGAGAAAACTATCTACTGCTTCTAAGGCAGAACTACAGATTTTCAACAGCCAGTTACAAATGAATTCACAGTTCAAATTTTATTTATAATCGTGGCACTTAGCACCAAAGAGATGAATTTAAACCAGCAGACATATGAAAGAAAATAAAGCACATAGGCAAGAAAAACTTACTTTACTGGAACATGCAAAACCAACACCAAGGGTTCCCAGAATTTCGAGTACACCTGGAGTAGAATTGCATTTTACAGGATAAAATGGCTTTATTGGTGCCATCACGTTCTGCCATTGCATGTTATTCCTTACAAGCTTTCCAAGATCTCCAACATAAAATGCCTTTTTTCCAGTCTGCAAAAGGAAGAATAGGAAAATAAAATGTCTGAAATTGTAGGTTTGCTGTCAAGACAAACAACCCCAAGTCTTAAAGAACTAGGTACCTTTTTTTACCCTGCTCTTAACTTTTAGATTTGACCTTGAATAATGTTTTTCTGTTCACCTAGCAATTTGAACTAGTGTTAAAAAAACCAAAGGGAATACCTACCACTTCAGAGATATTATGATTGCTATTGACAATATTCTGAGATTCCTGAATAAAAGATTCTACTTAAATACCAAATGCTGATTTTATCAAGAAACACAGATTAAGTTACACACTTCTTTCAACTTTTTATTTTCAGAAGTCTGCAGCTATTTATAGGAAGAAGATCCACTGGGATGAAAGCTTCCACAGTCTCAATGTAATTTATACCTTACTATACAAGGAATAAAATCTGACGCACTAACATTATTTTAACATCTAATAGCTTGTTTTGCTAAAAATTTGTCTGATGGTATTTTAGTTCAGGAAGTCAAGTTTGAGACTGTTCTCCACATCTTGTGAAGAATGAAGTTCAAAAGGAATTTTTAGAACTAGACTCCATGTTAAAGGTGACAGAATCAAGTACATAATCTTTAAGAAAATGCACAGACTTTTCTGGAACTGTTAAGTTCTGCACATCTGTTACAATATAGTCTTTCTCACTATCAGGTCATGATGCAGGTGTAGTGGATCAAACTGCAAACAGATTTTTCCAGATTTGTTCATAATGTGCGCTCAGTAAAAGTACTGCAGGTGAATGCCCTACTGTAAATCAATTAAAGACCATCACGAAATATATGATGGATCTGAATAGAGACTGTACATCAAATGTTAATTCTAGCACTTGACTTTTGCAGATATGAAACTCTACAGGTTGTGGCTTATTTTATACAAAGTCTTTATTTCTGTTTAAAAAACACAAATAGAAATTCCATCGGGTGGAAGCATACTGACCCCCTGTACGGGTCACCAGCAGGAATGGGATCTGGAGCTTTAGATCCATGGCACAGGCCTCTACCCCTTGAGCTAAAGGAGTAAATGAAAGCAGCAGGAGGCAGCTATCCTCTGTGAGCCAGCCAGTGGTTGGAGACATGACATGTTGCCAGTAGTTTACCTATTTATTTGCTAGACAGAAAAAGAATATTAGGAATCAGGATTTGGGAATCCTACACCTGAGTTCAGAAGGCCATGGAATTTAGCTATTTGCTGTACTATAGCTGACCACTTGCACATGAATATTAGTTCTGATAAACCAAGAGAAAAGTAAGCAACTCACAGTATGGCATATGAAGAACACAGGATTTTGCTTAACGAAACTTTTTCTAAAGTTTGCTCTTTCTACAGTTGTGTCTACATCTTCCTGCCTCTTCTTAAGAGATGAGTGAAGCCTTATTAAAAAAATGACTATTGTATACACAGAATTATTCAACTTTCTTTCCAGTTGGCTGCTAAACTTCAGCTTTTACACCAGTTTTGCTTGAAAGATAGCACCTCACAATGTGCTTGTACCAGAGTTTCCAGTGGGGAGAAGGGTTAACAGGAAGATGTATGAATATTAACAATGATGGCCCACAGAAAATTTAAACATGGCTTTAAAAAGGCTCAGCATACACATTTGTCAGAACTCTGCCATATTTTCAGGGAAATAACAACAACAAAAACATTCTAACTGAATATATCCACTTGCGTAATTGCAGGTGCCTCATTGCTAATAAAATCTCTTCAAACAATGAGATGGGAACCTGTATTTAATTACATCAGCCAGACTACTTTCCTGCTAGTCACACTCAGGGCAGTAAGAGTTGATCACCAAATTTCCCCAACAGAATTCTGCCCAAAGCAAGAAAACAGCAAAGAAGCAGAATTAGAAGAGGCAACTACTTTATAAATAAGGTGAGCGAGGCTTAGCTGACTGTTTCTCTGTTGCTGTCAGCTCATCAGCTCTAAAATACTTCGACCTTGTTTGAAGACTTAGGGAACTAAATGAAAAGATCTGGAAAGCAAACTTACATGAGTATGTTCATAAATACAGTTGTCAATAACATCTGCAAGAGTTGCTCCTTCATCCAACAGACCAATGGAGTAATTTGCATCCTCAAGAAATCCTTTCATCTCAGCCGTATTCCACAAAGCCGACAGTCATAAACCAAGAAACACAAGGGATGGGCTTCCAAGCCTTATATCCGGGTCCTTAAATTATGCAACAAACTGTAGAAAGAAAACGTGTCAATGGAAAAAGAGGCACAAAGCATACCATGCTGCTGTTTAAAAACCAGCTTTCTATACCTGATGTCCTACATCACTAACACACCCCCCGCAAAGACCAAAGATGTTCCTACTCTGCTCACCCTACATTTTGTCAGAGACATGGATAGAACAATTCTACTGAAGCCAAGAATAAAACAGAAGCTGGGTACTTCAGATCTGACTTCCAGAAACAACTGATGCAAGGCTGGTCTTGAGAAGAATTCCAGACTGTATGCACACTGACCTGCACTGAGTTTATGCAAACTATTAAAATACTGCAAGGGCAGCAAAATTGTACAAATACCTCAGCTCAGTTCTTCTCAAGTACAGCATCTTAAGCAATGCTAGCATTCAAGTGTGCAACTGGAAGACTGCCTGTAATAGAACATTCCTAAAATTGTTATGGAAAACTTGCAGCTTATTGATTAAATGTTAGCAGTGATATTTGTGCTAATGTTCTAGTTCTTTTGGTGCTAATTTATAACCACTGCATTTATTAGAAATTTTGTTGTTCTGTTCATACCATTACCTACAACACTCACAAAGGTTAATTGCAACAGAGGTTAATATAAAGAAGCCACTAGGCTAGAAGTAATTTTCAAAGTGATAATCTTAGCAAGAAGATTTGTCATAAAGTAACAGTTACAGTCTAACTTTATTTGCATCTTGCTTATCCTCAGATCTTCACTGCAAATTAGCTTAGTAGTTAGTAGTTTATACAGTGTTTTCCAAAAGACATTCTAAATCAACAAAATCGAAACACTGAAAAAACTGTTAAATATAGTCTTAGAATACAGATTGACTATTTAATCACAAGTAAAAGTCAGCAGACAGCAGAAAATGACCAACAGCTGACTATATACCTCCATTTGCCTTACTTGATGAATAGAACAATCTGCAGTTTACATTCCATTAGTTGTGGGTCTCGTTTAAAAGCAGCTTATTAGCTTACATTAACCCACTGACCACATTTTTGTTTCAATTGTCATCTTTATGACTAACACAAGATAGATCAAAACCAGCCAAATAAATAGATTTCTTCTCTAAATGAAGACCTAAGGTTTTTTTTTTTTGTATCTCAACAAAAGTTGCATAGTACTTGCAAAAAAAGTGATGGTTGTTTTCTAAAGCCACCTGCACTTAGATTTACAATGGCAGAATTATTTTTCTAATTCAAAGTGTTTGTAGAAACCGCAAACATTACAGCTGAAAGCCAAAAATACTTCATTAGTACTACAAAAATTAAGATAATTTTGGCTTCAAATCATCACGGGGCCATGGTATTAACTCAGTCTCATGTTTCATCCACCACCTTCATACAGTAAAAAAATATACACAATTAGCAACATAGGTTTGGTTAATGTTGTCAACAATATGAACAAAGTTACTTTGCTGTAGTTTAATACTACCACAACTAAGCAGCAGTTGCTCCTGCTTGTCATTATGCCAAATAATGGGAAAGGAGCCAGCAGGGTTTTTATATGCTTTCTGCACAACTCAAACATGCCCCCTATATTTGTTACAAGAGGAATTTACTGCCAGGTGAGCTAAGTCAGTGGCAGCATGAATATCCAGTTCTGTTCAGAAGCAGAATGATAAAGACAAGTACACCAGGTAAGAAATAGTTGTTTCACACATACACAGCGAGTCCTATGATTATTTAAGGGAATCCTGAAGATCCAAAACAATCACAGAAGAGCAAGATAATTATCACATTGATGAAAGGATTTAATGAGTTATAAAAACAATGACTAGGTGGTAGACTATAATAACCAGAAAAGTCTTTAGTCAGTCATATCTCAGTAAGAGACTAACAGCTAAAACTCCTTAAAAAAATGCCACCACTAAACAAAAGCTTGTGAACTAAGCTTGCCTTAGAATCAGTCTAATAAAGATGAACACCACAGTAATCTTCGTAAAATACCCATGGGTTTCCAGAGGCAGAGGAACAAAAAGGCTGAGTTATCTTTTTCCCCCACAGAAAGAAATGCTGGCATCAGCTTTTCACTGATTTTTTTTTTTTAAGGAATTACTGTATATATAAGGGTACTATTTAGCTAGGTTTTAAAATTTTGGTTAAGTTTTTTTTCATGTTACAAGCCACTTCCTACACTCTAAAGCTTGCAGACAGTCAAGAGTCCCTTCCACCCCAGATCTACCCTACTGGAAGGTCTCAGCACACCCAGTGGAAGCAGTCACAGCCCTGAATGATTTTTAGACTCACCAGACACACAGAGCTAGTTGCTTGTACCTTGTATTTCAAATGAAGCAGCCCAATCTAACCAACTGCACACTTTCATCTTCGAGTGTGGATGTTCATCTGAGTTACAGAGGAGTAGATTTAAGCTAGTTGTTTTATAGTCTTAAAAGACAGGCTTTTTTTCCCCCATAGTTAATGACTGTGGTGTCTACAGGTTTCAGACAGATGGTGTAGAAGTATACTTTCCTTGAAAAGCTGCCCCTTTAATTTTGAGGAGACTCTGTTCAAGTAAAGCATGGGGGGAGGCCTCTTTACCACCAACTCCCAAAGCCACCATGAACAAAAAGAACAATTATCTAGTAAGTTAGTTTTGATAAAGATTATTTCCTAAACAAGCCTTGTCTCTTGCCCATTCATCAAAAATCATCTTATGATCAGAAGGCAGGCACCAAAAAGAATATATGCTAGTACAAATTCAATGACAAATTGCAACAAACCCTAAACAACCTGATATAACCTTTCCAGGATGCCAAACAGTGATTGCTTTCTCTAAGCACATCCAAGACATGGAAGCTTTTCCATTTAACAAAATTAATCCAGTAGAAAAAAAACCCTAATGTTTGACTACTGTCCAATTTCCCCTTTTTGGAATAAATTACATCTCTTCAGTCTTGATAGGAAGGATATTCTACAAAGGAAAAACAAATTCCTAGAAGCACTACTACAACACCACTACAAGACAGTGGCTAGAGAAACAATTCTTTAAGGGGTTAATACCTTACAGTAGGATTTGGGATTCTGCTGTCACCTTATTCTGTCCTGACTGGTTCCCTCCTGAGGGGGGAAGGAGAATCAGTGATAAAATTTGCAGAAGGAAATCTAAATGATGGTTTAGGACTTTTTTTGATGTCTGTAAGATGAGTCAGAACTCATTAGAGTGCAGAGCTCACTCGTTGCTGGAAATGCTGACTTGCTGCAAGTCATTATTTGACAGACTTGGTGTGGTAACACAACCCATTTTCACACCTGAAATGTTAGTCTGCACAATGCTCCAGGACATGTATTTTAAGTCAAACAAAAGCTGTCAAGTGGTATGAGACTTCTACATAGGCATGTAATTGCTTTCTTTGAAGTAAGCATTACATCCTCAGGCTCTTTAACACAATGACTTCCCAGATGAAGTACTCTAAGATAAAAGTGTACATATTTAAACACTGCAATTACTGCAGACATCTGGAATAAAAGAAAATGAAAATTCTCTGAACAGAGTCTAAACACATGCTTGTCACATGTAAGCATCCATAACACACACAATTTTCATTTCTTTTCTTTACGTTGTCCAAACTATGTATTGTTTGGCCTAAGAAAAGAACTTTAAAAACCCCACCTATAGGTTTGGGTGTTTCATAAAAAACTTCCTCTGCAAAAAAAGTCTCTGCAAATGAAATGGGCTCCAAATAATGCCTTTCAACCACATCTTATTAAACAAAAGTATTTATGACCTATAACAATTATGCTGATGCAAAAATCATAAAGGGCTAAAAACAAATTATTCTCTCATTCCTTGCAATACTGGTTCTTCAGGGGTAACAAATCAAAAAAAGAAACATTTTGTCACTGACACCAGCAATTCAGCACAGAACAGGTATACTAGAAAAGTATATATATTATATATCTACTCACTATACATGAATCCTCTGCTTTCAGTGCAGGGAATACCTACTTATAATGGGAGTATCTTTTTAAAAAAATTCCAAGATGCCATTTCACCAACTTGCATCCCTGTAATTCAATTAGCTGAATGTAGCCACTAACCAGCTGATGGAAATGCTGAAACAGGTGTCTTTTTTTGCATTACTCAAGTTACCTCTCAGCACAAATCCACGGAAGGCCATAAGTAGGATACCTGTACAGCTTAGGTAAGTTGCAGCCTACTCTATTCTCTCAGCAGTGCTCCACACAGTTAAGTGAGCAATGTAGAAAGAACAATTCTGCTGAAGCAAGCAACCGGGACAGACACTGAAAAAACAACGGCCCATCCAGCACCTTGTACAGGAACAAAAACCTTCTGCATTCTTGAAGTCTGAATACATTATTCAGACCCAGTAAGCTCACAAAACTTCCAAAAGAATGGTTACTCTTCTAAGTGCACATATACTTCCGTGGTAGCTGACCAGCACTTCTCTTTTACAACAGTGCCAACAGTCACTTCCCTATTCTACTTGCTCAGTGTTAGTATCTGGCCTCCCCACTGCCCCCTTTGACTCCCAACTCCCAGCCCTCCTGTTCCCTGAATGCCACCACCTCTACCTACACTAAGTCATGAAGGCTTTCAAAGTTAGCCAGTCCAGATAGCTACTGCTTCCACTTGGCACAGACAGAACTTGTTAATACATCAGAGTTCCATTGATGATTCCCATCATTTCTGACCAACCAGATGGGGCAATAAAGAGAAAAGATTTTAAAGGAACAAGACTTCAGGCCACAGTTGCTGGACTGCTCAGGGAGTGAGAGCTTGAAGAACAGACAGAACTAAACCCCAAGTCTTTCCCTGCCAGTGTAACACAAGGAAAAAGTGAGATGGAGAAAATGATAAAAAGGAAGTGAGTTTAATGGAAATGTAAGTACACCTTCAGACAGAAGATTTTTCTTTTAGTTCCACTGGAACATTAACATATAACATTACAGTTATATTTAAAGGCTCAGTTGACCTTTTTCCCATTAAATCACTTTGCAAGTTGAACAAGACTCAAAGTACCAATTAGCTCTCTACCTTGCGTCTTAGCTGCATTTGAGGCAATGACTTGTGCTTCAGCACATCAAAACAGATACAGATTTCCTGGCAAACACCACTGCTACCTACAACACCACTAGATTCAATACAGAAATACTTCTATTTGTGTACAATTCATTGCTGCTGAACATGTAATAGATCCAACCTCAAAATAAATACACATCATCTGAACATTCAGCTGCAAATAAAGCAAATCCAGTGGCATTTCCATTCTAGGGCAACTTATATTTCATATCATTTGTCACAGCACAGGAGTCTACCAGTTAGAGAAGGAATATCTCAAAGAAGGTACCAGAACAGCCTTCACCTCAAGAGTAAGCACTTCTGTCACAGCCAAAATTCTCTTCAGAACAGTTTTAGAAATTAAGATGCATGTATAGTACCTTAAGATTGTATACTTTATTCACTCCTTTGTAACAATTCTGTCTTTCCTAGCTTTTTACTACTTTACTTTATTCTTGTTCAAGTGCAAAATGTCATGCAAGAGTTCTAGCCACATAGAAGAGCAAACCAAAACTTAAACTGAACAGGGGAAGCATTTTTCTCAGCTATTTTGCTTATAAAAACCACACTAAACATAACAGTGATATTCAGAAAATTCTCAGTGTTGACTGAATTCACTTGACTAGAATATTCAACTACAAAGAACCAGATATATGTAGTTAATTCAGTAAGTCTCAAAGAAAACAAAGAACATAACCTCTGGAGATATAGCCAGAAGTCAGGATAAACCAAGCTCATCCTGTGCCTCAGCAATTGTGGTTTTTTCAAAGAATGAGTTTATCTACATTAAGTACCTTATTAGGATGCATACTAACACAACTGGCATTTGGAATCTTTGTGGTCTTTAAAAAGTACCTGGCTCAGTAAGATGTACTTAACCATTTGCAAGTTCTACATTAAAAAGTGTTCCATAATTTATAGGTAGTAAGCCAAACAAAACCGCCTTCAGCTAGACAGGAAAAAGTAACACTGTACAAATACTGTATAAATGCATTTGTAATATCTGAGTTAAGACTATTGTTAAAAACCACATAAAGCTATTTTAAGTTAGCAGAACACGATAACCACATACATTTCAGAGTTTTCTGTGCTCCTTAAGATCAGCTAAGTGCATTCATTTGTTTTCCATTATCATGGTCTTGTTTTTCTTTAATATCTATCTGCCACTTCAAAATATAAAGGCATTTATAATTGGTACTCATTTTCCTTCCAACATTAAATTCCACATTCTACTGTAACCCCACTACAACTATTTGTGGAAATGGATAGCAATTAACAAATAATGGAGACAGGCATTTGGGAAGGCACACCCTTCATGATCAGCCTTAGTTACTGTTTACAATAGCAAATCTTAACTATTTCAGTATAAACTACTCTAAAACGGTACTGTATTCAGCAAGTCATGAGTTGATATTAACAGTCATGCAGTCCAATTCCTGACTTCAGAATTATCACTGAGACTAAAGTTACAGCATTTTATTTCAGGATTTCTGCAGCCAACACCCCTAATTCAGAAAAGTAGCTTTATTTACCAAGTTTACTGCAGAATTTCATCATATAATTGTACTGAGAAACGTGTTAGGTGAGTAAAATGTTTAGTTTAGTCCCCCACATCATCCTGAATGAAAGTCCTATGACCAAGTTTACTGCAGAATTTCATCATATAATTGTACTGAGAAATGTGTTAGGTGAGTAAAATGTTTTAGTTTAGTCCCCCTCTTCCTATGCAATTTTGTTAATCTACATCCAGACCTTGCTTATCAAAAAACAAGCTGTATTTTTGCAAGTGCTTATCTTCCTGCACACAGATGAAGAGAGACTTACATGGACAAGTTAGGAGATGGAACCCTACTATCATCAGCTAGGTTCCCAAGGTGGCTCAGCGTTGAAGTCGAACTGCTCTCTATAAAGCACTTCTCCTAAGCCCTCTGGATAGTTGTAAACTTGATCAGAGATTTTGCCCTGTAGGGAGAAAAATGCACACAAAAATAAAATTCATAGCCAGAACAGAATAAAAGCTTTATAATAAAACATGTAACAAATGCCTTTTCAGTAGTGCCTTTAAAGAGGCTTGCAACACCCCACCATGAAAGTTTATAATTACATCAAACACCCAGTTTTCAGGAGTTAATGTAAACTCTGACCAGAACAAGCCAGATGCACAAAGAACTGCTAAAACACGAGACTGCTTATTCTACTTATCTTTCACAGTCCGAGTGAGAAGGTTTTCAAAACTCATGGCAAAGATCTCTACATGATCCTGCTGTAGGGTAGTATGCCTTAACACTCTCTGGATTACTCTCCCAGAAGTGTTTTTAACCCTGTAACCACTGCATTCTTCCCCTCCCCACTTCCTTTCTATTTTAGAATTCCCTTGCCATGTTCCTTCTCCCTCTGCTGTGAATGAACATGGCATGTGGGTGAAAAAGCTATGTGGGTGAAAAATAGTGCTTTATATAGTGAAACTGAACACCACACAGACAAATCCAGAAATGCGCAAGACAGTAAAAACAAAGAAACTTATGCTTGCCTTCAGGAATGAGGAAACATTTCAGCTGGCCCTTAAAGGCTATTACACACACCACCAAAGCAGCATTTTAAAGTACAAGGCTAGCTCACTCAAGGTAAAGCAATCACACAAACAGAACAACGAGCGTAAAAGCAGTCAAGGAAACATTTATTAGGCCTGTTGAGAAGTTACTCCTCCTAAAAGCAACAATAATTTTCATGGAATTAAAAACACTACCAAACTGGTCACGTGTAAGCCCAACATACAACATGGTTTCTACAAATTCGCTGTGATATATGGCATGAAACATACCAACCTATTGTGAAAATGAACCTTTGCTACTTCCATTATTTAAGTTATACTACATGGGCTGACTACAAAAGCCTGACTTCTAGGAATCACCCAACACAAAAGGTCATCTTCACAGCCACGTTAGTTAAACTCCTGAAATATACTTTTCCACTTATTCTTGCTATTGGAAAACTAAACTAGTACACCGCATAAAGTACTGCATAACACACAGAGGTCATGCAACTCGAGGGTAACTGTTTCACAGCAACTCCCAGAGAGCAATCCCTGCAGCTTTACTACATAAATTAGCATTTACTAGCATGCAACATTAAAAACAAACCTCAGTGCTTCAAAACTGAGATATAACAGAATTTTGCTAGCTAGAATTAATGCATATGTATTACATTTAACCTTATCATTTTCTTTCACTAAAGCAAGAAGTCAGTATTAATTCTGCACACAACAGTTTTACAAAAGGAAGGTGTTGTCAACATTTAAAATTAACTGGTAGTTACAATACTTCCTACTGCTGTTCTGATTATACTCAAGAATTCATACAAATTTTCCAGGATAGGAATTAAGTTTACCTTTCTAGCCAAACAAGTCATTAAACACAAGTGCTTCTAGGTAGAGCACATGACCTTCAGTGCAAAACTTAAAATGCAATGCTTCAGCCAAATATCACCTGCAATACTATGCCCATGAATATTCTCCCATGTCCCAAGGAGGAAAGTTTACAGTGAAAATTCCTGTGGAGCAGAAATGAAACCCAACAATTTTCTGTAGCAACAGTAAACTTTGAGCTGTGCTGAGATGTAACTACCTTTCAGAACTTCTTTTAAATTAGAATTATTTACGTAAAGGAACTACATAAACATATATAATAGTCTGACTGCTCTTTTTGTGCAGCTTTGCCACCTCTAAACATTCAGAGGAAAATTGAACAGTTTGAGCCTTTCCAATTGCAGTAATTTTAGTCTATTTTAAGCAGAAGAAAGGGAATTTGCTGTCAAGTGGCAGAGCTGGGCTACCACTTTAAGAAGTGTATTAGATGCCCATAACCCACATGGGCAAATCCAGTTTTACAAAAATTGCATGTTATCAACCACAATGAAACATTCCTTGTTTAAGGGTTTTAAAGTAGGTATAAAAGTACTCTTTGCTAAGCAGTGAGCTTTGAGTTGTGGGAATAGCCAGCAATGTAGCTCCACCTTTTAATATTCAAGTGGCACCTAGATGCATGTGTTTATCTCCCATCTGTTGGTATACTCTACTAGCAGGTTCCTGAAGTTTGTCTACAGCTCAAGCAACAACAGTCACAACTCACCTGAGGATCCAAATCACCCCCCAGCAGTCCACAGCACACAGTTTTGCCAGAACACCTGCATTCCTGCAGCAAGCCCTGTAAGTGCCCAGCAGGGCTGGGCTTTTTCCAGCTCACTGGCCCTCCTCACGTCCCCATGTGTGATGCCAATAGGCCTACAAAACCAGGAATCAATCCATTTTCTTAAAAAAAAATAAAAATCCACGGCATCTGTTTCTGAGAAGAGACCCTTTAGTGGCTTGAGCTAAAACGTCCATTAACCAAACCCTAAAAATCTAGAATTACAATGACCTTGCACATTTACACCAAGTGGCAGACTCAAAGGCACCGAAGTTACTCTGGTTCACAGAAAAACCTAGGTCTTTTTGAGCTACAACAAGCCTCTTCCAGAGCAGGGAGAGGACACTGTGGCAAGGAGATCCCGGGCAGGGGAGCAGGTCCTGAAGGAAGCACAGGTCCCTGAGGAGTTCTCCCACGAACCACACTCTTGCTCCTGTGCTACATCAACAGCATCTAGAGCTGAAATCTACCATTATATCTAAATTAGCGCACTGCACAATTACGCCTCGCTTCTAGGAAGGGACAGTCTTAATTCTCCTCCAGAGCACTCTGTCTCCCCTTTAACTTGGAGGGATGGAATCACTTCCAGCAGCACTGCTGCAGTCACACACCTGCGGCAGCCTTCCAGGGAGCAGCGAGAGGCACAAGCTGTGCGTGGGTCCCGGGGCCGGCTGCAGAGCTGCAAGGCAGTAATGCTGCCTCCAGTAAAACTGTGCCCACAGGAGAAACATTCCCACAGCTGCTCACCACCAAACAACACCCGCCCCCCTCCCAAAGACCCTCCTTTTTCTGGGGTTTAACAGCCTTCCCCTGGAGCTCAATGCCCAGCGGGAGGGATGGGGAGAGCAGGCCGGGGGTCTTGGCCTACAGGAGGCAGAGAAGGGAGCTCGCCACAGCCAGAGGCACACGGGGAAGGGGCTGCCTTGTCACAGGCATCAGCCACAGCAGCATTGTTCACACGGTGACAGGAAGGAAAGAACTAGACTGGACCAGTCCAGACTGGAACAAACCCCTCCTACCATCACCATTATTCACAACCCCCACCTCCCCCAGCACCACTGCCTCCCACGTTTATCCAAGGAAGAATAATGGGCAAGTGCAGTGTCTTCAGAGACAAAAATCCGGCAGCCGGGGAGGGCAGAAGAAGCAGGGCAGGACCACCCCCCAACCCACTCGCACACAAGAGACCCAATCGTGCATCTGACTAGATGGTAGGCATTTCCATGCTGTTTTATTGGCCTTCACACCGTGTTTTCATTCAGGGTGCCTATAACCGACTGGGACTACACAACTGTATCCTGGTTAGTCACCGGAGACTGCTGCAGAGGTCTGAAACGCAGTGCTTCTCCTGCCTACAGGCACAAGGCAGCTGTGCTGGATTTTGTACTGCAGGAGATGCACTTCAGAAAGGCTCAAAAGGTTTAAGCTCACTTTCTTCCCTCTTCACCACAACCAGGTAACCCCCAGCACACACAGGCATCTTCATGGGCTCAGACTGATGACTGGAAAAGATCTGCAGTGCTGTCTAATACCCAGCCATAACAGCCACACCACGATCCTGCACTTGCACTGTCCCACTTATGCAAGCACGAGCCCGCTCGGTCACCGTGCCTTCAGCTCCCCTACCACCAGGAACAGACAGACACCTCTACTGATCTCCCACCACTGTAACTCTGCTGACCTCATACCACACAGGACGGCACGGCAGCCCACACGCAAACACTTCGGCTACCCCAACATTCAGATACACACACTTTACACACGCGAATTCAGCTGTCAGCTGAGCAGGAACCAGAATCTCTTCTCCATGCTTTCCAAAAGCCACTAGTACACCAGTGGCCAAATGGACCACAATATGGTTGGCAGAGGCAGCCAAGCCAAGAAGGATGAGCTCAACCAAGAGACCTCCAAAAGGACCAGCAGCACCAAACCTGCTACTGCTACACTAAGGGTCTGACCAAGGGGAAGGGTAAAGAGTGCACCCGTGAAATGAGCAGAGAACTACTCCCCGGGCAAAGGGACGGGACTGCTAACGGGAGGGAAGGACTCCCTTTCCACATGCCGGGTGACCCCACGGCCCTTCTGCGTGAGGGCAGTCCCGGAAAGCGTCACTTGTGCAATGGCCTCGCAACTCGTGCGTTGCTCTGACAGCCGGCGCTGCCACCCTGCTCTTCGGCGCGGCCCTTGCTGTCCATGCCGACGGGGACAGGTGAGGAGGCCTCGTGCAGGCGCAGCTCAGGTGAGGGGAAAAGTGGAGCATGGCAGTGGGAGCCCGGATGGATAATCACGCTCACAGAAGCACAACATGGCCCCTGAGAAGCAGGCGAGGAGACGCCGCGGCCATGCCACCAGCACTTCTCCTGCCTTTGCCCCCGTCAGGCTGCCCAGCCCTGAAGCCCGTCACACACGGCTGCCCCCGGGGGCTCAGAGAGCTTATGGCGTGTGGGTCACACGTGTAAAAGGACCTTTGCAGCACCCGCACCGCAGCCCGTACTGCCAGCACAGGCTACTGCCACAGGACATTGGGCAGCCCCTCACCCTGCGGGATCCAGGCGAGGACGCCCCTCGGCCCCCGCTCCCAGGCAGGGGCGCCGTGCGAGAGGCAACAGCTCCCGGCGGACGCGTGTCTCCAGCCGCGGGCACTGCCCCGGCTGCGAGGGGGAAGACACCGTACAGCCCCCCTCCGCAGGAATCCGCCATGTTAGGGCGGCCGCCGAGCCCCCGCTGGTCGCGAAGCCGGCGGCCTCGCCGCCCTTCCGCGTCCCGAGGACTGCGGGAGAAGGGGACCGGCGGCACCGCCGCAGCGTTCACACCGGTGCCCGGCCTCCGCTCCCGCCCCGTCACCGCTCGCACGCAGCGCTGTCCGCCATGTTAGCGCGGCGGCCGTTGACCCTCCGCCCGCCACCGCCACCACCCTGCCGGGTGCGGGGGTCCCGCTGCCCGCCCGCTCGGTCCCCGCACTGCGGCCCCGCACCGCCCGGCGCGCCGGGGGACAGGGGAGCTCCGGCTCTGACTCATTCCGCCGCTCTCCATCTGCCGCTGCCGGTGGCAGCCGGTCTCGCCCCACGCCGCCGGGGCGAGACCGGCTCCATCCCCAAACCTGCCCGGCAGTCACCGCCACGGTACTGCCCCCCGGCTGCCCCTCCGCCCTTTCCGGGCACCACGACCACCGCTGTCCATCCTTCCCTGCACTGCCCCAAGCCCCAGACCCCGGGCAGAGGGAAGCTCCTAACGCTACCACCGGTAGCCGGTGACCATGGACGCTCCGGCCCGGTTCGGAGCTTGGGGTGGGCGTCGCCACTGCTCCCCTCCCTCACTCCCACCACCTCCCCCACGGGCGAGAGCCCCAGGACTCCCGCTCCGGTACTCACGTGAGATAACGGCCCGAAAGATTTGGTAAATCGTCTTCTCTTTTTAGGCGGAATTTTTAAAGAGGGATGTGGGAACCTACAGCAGAAATACAGGCGGCGGCAACGGCGCCTTCCAGGGCCATAGGCTGCGGGGGCGGCCGGCGGGGAAAGCGCAGCGCAGCGCTGGGACCAGAGGGCACAGGCGAAGAGAGACAGAACCGGAGCGGGCCGGGGGCTGCGGTAGCGGAGAGCGGAGACGGGAGCGCGGCCGATGAGCTGCAAGCGAGCGAGCGGAGACACAAGACGAGAAGAAGGAGCCGTCGCCGGCAGTGCTTTTATAGAGCGGGAGGGTGGGGCGGGATCCGGGCCGTCGTCACCGCACCGGGGGCGGGATCCACCGCCTTCCCCCGCCGCGGCGGCCGGGGCGCGCTGGGCCGGGGGAGTGAGGCGCGTGTCCGCGGCGGAGCTGGCGTGTCCCCGGCAGGGCTGGCGTGTCCGCAGCGGGCCGCCCGCCCTGGCTGGCACCGAGAGTGCTGCAGGAGCGGTCAAGTCTTTGGTTAGTTCCTGACACAAGCCGCCGTCAGCATCCCCCCGCGATCCCGGGCAGGTGGTTACCACACGTGTCTTCACATGGCATCTGGGATCTGTGCTTCTGTCATGGTTTCCACTAACCCGAGACCTATTCTGTGTCACTACGACTTTAAACAGGTGGAAAAAGAACCCAGGGTTCCATGGTCAGCCAGAGGCCTCGTTCACCGAGTTAACAACCGAGTTCACCGAGCCTGGCAGCTCGCCCTGATTCCCTGGGCATTGATAAGCTGCTCATAATGCTCACCAGAGGAAACTAATTACACTGCATAGCTGGCAGCCTCAGTCTCCCAGCAATTTCAGCCCTTCAAGAATCCTGTAAGTAAATACATGAATGGAAGGCTTTAGCTGACCCATGCAATTCACACAGTTTCACTGAAGCTCTGGGACATCTTCGGCACACCTCAAAGCCTGTAGTTCTTTCTTAACACCCTTATGAGGGAGCGCTGCTCAGCTGCAAGTAGAAAAGAGCCACCCAATGTTGAGGTGCCTCAGTTAAAAGTCACAAAACTGTTTCATGTTGGAGCTGTGGATGAGCCCTGATCTACCAGCCTGGCTCTGCTGTGTCAATTTTACTAAACCACACAGGGCTGCTTTTTAAAACATTCATTCCAGCAATCACAATTCTTTCCAGATACCTAAATATGTAGGTATGCAGTTCACTGAAACCCACCAAAAGATATACTTGTTCAGGAAAGTACTTCTTTCTCTCAAGGCACATTTATTTTCTTTTTAAAAGGTTAGCACAAATTTGCTTTTTTCTAAAGCAAATTTGGGTTTGTTTAGTTGTATAGCAGAGAGAATTAAAAAAAGGAGTGAATAGATACACACCTGTCATATCTTCAGAAAAAGAATGGGACTGAGGTTTCACAGTGCACAGAGATGGAATTTGCTTACTCTTTTCGTCTGTTACCACATTCTCTTTTGCAAATAATTTTAAATGAGGAGGAAGTGAACTCACAAATATATGTAGTCCCATTATCATGTCTCCTTTTTTGTGATAAAAGCACTAGTAGGTTATAGATGAAGTTAGTAAAAGCAGGTACAGATTAGGAAGTCAGAAAACCTCTTACATACACTTGCAACAAACCCTGTATTGAAGATCAAAAATTCAATATAACAGTTTACACTGCTGGTTTTTTCAGGTGTGTTCTGTATTACAGCCTTCATCAGTGACTTACTTGTTTTTTGAGTTGCCATTCCGGAATGTAATTACAAGAGGAGGGATCGGATTATATTTAAAAACAAAACTAACCAACAAACAAACAAAACCAAACTAGAAAAAGCTATAGAGAGATAGGAAGAGAAATTTGGGCAGAGCTTGGTTATGGTACAGTAATTGTGAATTATTAACAGGCAAAGAAAGGAGGAAGGGATAGAGGGAAGGACAAAGGTTATAGTGATATATACAGAAGAGCAACCCAGAAAGCTGTATTCATTAGGAAGGTCGATTTTTCAAAACACATCTTTGGAAGGGATATAAACTAGGAAAAGGACTGGACTAGTTTGGAGATGTTACTATGTATTTTATATATGTTCTTAGAGGTCTCCTGTTGGTAATACTTAAAGATATCCCAGTGATATATGAGTGATCTCACTGGCACATGTTGCTGCCACATTCATCTTCCCAGGAGAGTTTTTGTTTTGGTAGGTAGGGGATGTTTTCAATATTCTTATTGGGAGTAAGAAAACAGATGGACTATTTAAGAGGAGTGCATAGTCACGTAGGACAGGAAAAAGAACTTCAGTTTGATATGCAATTAATTGGGGGATCTGTCAACTATTTTAAAAATGCATGGAGGGAGGGAGGATTTCCTGCTCGTGAAGGAAGCAACACTTGAAAACAGAAACATAAACTTCATCCTCTCAAATCTACTGGAAAAAGAAGAGTGGCACACTATTAGGGAGAGTACAAGACTGAACTGTGTAGTCACTTTACACAAAATAAGAAAAAAATGATGGATGAATGCTTTATACAGTGTTTCTGCTAGTACAGATGATATTAATGCAGAACTAGAAAACTGATGCCACAGCTCAATGTATATGTACATATTTTAGCAGTCCTGTTTTGTCTGGAGAGGCAAAATATAAAAAAAAGCTTACATAAAATTTCCTTCTGCCTCATTTCTATGCACTCAGTTTTAATACTTGGATTCCTAGCATTGTATGGCTCCATATCCACATTTTGTAGGTTAGTAGAGTAAAAATTTACATTTTCTGCTCCAAAGAGACAAAGTGAACAAAGCACAAAATGCATCTCCAGCTCTGAGTTCCCTTACTTCCAACTGAGAGGCACTTCTACCTTTTTTTTTTTTTTTTTTTTTTTTTTTTTGCCTCCACACTTTCTTTTCAGTGTGGTTCACAGTTGGATATAGTCAAAATCAGGTGTTATCCCTATGACGCAGATAAACAGGAGCAGGAAAGACATCCTTCCCCACCTCATCTTTTGGACTGCAAAAAATACTAATGAGGCAACACAGTGGCCAGGAGCTCCAGATTGGTTTGGACAGATGTCTGAAGTCTGCACAGCCTGATGACCTTCCCTGCTAATCCCAAGTATTTCCTTCTCTTAAGGATGTCTTCCTAAGGGCTCTTTTCTCCTCTGGTTCTCCCATTTCCTCTCCCTCTCGGATGCTGCCTCTATCGCCACTCATCAGCAGCAGGGTCGGATTCCACTCCTGCAGTGAGAGAATGAGATTATTTCCTCCTCCATCTCCTCTTCCTCTTCCCCCACTGCTGCCAACTCCTGCAGCGGTCAGTGTTTTTTCTTAAAGCCTCAGGTGCAGGAATTACGTGATTATGCAGGAATTTCATCTTCCATTGAAAATAAAATGTTCCTAGCTACTGCAAACTCAGTGCAACAGAAGGCAAATATAAATAATGATCCACCTTCCAAACTAGGGAAAAGGTTGCTTCAGTTTCTGAGTGCTTGGTCTTGAGAGTCTGTTCCCTGTTCCATCTCCTTTCACATGTAGTAGCACTTGGTATAGTTGACACTGGGTATAGTTAAAAATCTGTAGCCATCCAGCTGGAGCACTCAGCTCTTGGGGTGGGAGGAAAGAATCAGTCCAAAGTGCATTTTTGTCTGAGCTGCTCAGGGCAGGAACGTGTGTGCAAAGGGAAGACTTATGAGAAAAAGAAAATGAAGGCTGTGATAGCTCTGGATCCCTCATACCAACAATGGCATAGAAATACTAGAACTTCAGTAGTTACTCTTTTTAGTAAAATAATCTGTATAAATAGGACCTTGTAGTAGTAGTATCAATTGATACTCTGATCTTTGGACCTTTTTTATTGCTGCATACTTTGGAGCTATCACTGTTCCAGCCAGTTGACAGAAATGCTGATAACCAGTTGGAGGATGATTCATAATTATTAAAAGCTCAGAGGCAATGGGACGAAAGACATCTCTGCCTTAACTCACAGGGACAGTCACCTTTCACCTATATTTACTGACTATTTTTCTGTATCAAAACAACTGGGGCAAAAATAGGGTTCTACCTTTCTATTGGTTTCAAAAGAGTGTAATTTCTATGGAGAATAGTAACAGAATAGATCTCACACTCAAACCAAGTAGTTTACACAAAGTTAATGGAAACATCAGCTCAAAGCACTACATAAAGACATCACAAGTAATTAAAATTAAATTTGGGTTGTTTTACAAAGTCAAATAAAAAGAGGGAAAGGGCAAGAGAAAAGTCAGTTTTGGTTTAGAAGTATTCAGTGATTTACCATAAGGTGATTGCAGTTCAGTGCTAGAACAATATCAGCTCCAAAAAATCTAGACTGGATGGGCAGAAACTAAGAGAAAAGAAACAGCCAGAAACCAAGTATCACATTACTGCTCACTCACTCCCTCACCAGCGGGACTGGGAGAGAATCAGTAGGGTAAAAGCTGGAGAACTCCTGGGTTGAGATAAAGACAGTTTAATAGGTAAAGCAAATGCCACTCACAAAAGTAAAGCAAAACAAGAAAAGAATGAATCACTGCTTCCCAGGGACAGGCAGGTGTTCAGCCATGTCCAGAACAGCAAGGCTCCATCAGATGTAACAGTTACTTGGGAAGGCAAAAGCTGTCACTCCAAATGTGCCTCCCTCCCTCTTTCTTCCCCCCACTTTTTTTTTACTGAGCGTGATGTCATGTGGTCTGGACTATCCCTTTGGTCACTTTGAGTCACCTGTCCTGGCTGTGTCTTCTCTCAATCTCCCATGCACCCCCAGCCTCCCTGCCAGCGTGGCAGCATGAAAAGCAGAAAAGCCCTTGGCTCTGTGTAAGCCCTGTTCAGCAATCCAAAAAAATTCCAAATCATAGCCCCATATCAGCCATGGTGAAGAAAACGAACTCTACCCTAGCCAAAACCAGCACCATCCAAGCTACTAAATAAGGGCCATTTAAGAGAATATTCAGCTATGAGCATTACTTAAGAGTCTAGCCACCTGCATGCCTACTCCACATTAACTGGTAAAGAAAACTTGAAATATTCAAGTATCTGCAACATGATATGGACTTTTTACTGTAGAAAATGTTCCCAAGTTGAAAACAGATTAGAAATTACTTGAGTTCATTGGGTTCATTGTGTGATAGATTTTGAGCTGTTTATTAATCACACCCATTCCAGTTCCTGTTATCCAGGTGCAATGGATCATCACTAATACCTGAAGGGTCAGCTGAAGACCAAAGGTTATGCCTCTGTGGAATTTATCATTTCTCATTGCAAATATCTCTGAAATGGAGAAGTGG